ACTTCCCTACAACCCCACTATTCTTCATCATCTCCCGATGAGCCGACCTCCTCCACCACACGGTTCGGAAAATCATAACAGTAGGCAAGCAACCTCATCGGATCCCATGATGATAAAAGCAGACTTTAACTCTTCATCTTCTTTCGACGAGCCGACCTCCTCCACCACATAGTTTGACGCAGAAGAATAGAAGTAGTCCACCCAATCATGAAGTAGGCGCAACACCCAAACCAACCATCACCTTGCCTCCTATCAGCAAAGACACACAACGAAGCCACCATCTCAGCTGCCGCTATGCCCTAATCCTATCCCACCACCTAGCCCTCCTCACCAGCAGGACACAATTTTACCAATCCTTAAATATCCCCCTCCAAGCCGGGTACCACCCATCTTCCGCGGACGAAGAAAGGGACAACTAATCAGTACCTCGAGAAGCCCCCCCACACACTTACCTGCAAACCCTCTTACTCAACTTCATTTTCTGACGAGCCGACCTCCTCCACCACATAGTTCGCAAGATGGAGACCCCACAGCGAGTAACCGCGGACTACCACTCGTCTTGTCCTTGCGACAAGCCAACCTCCTAAAAACTGATCAGAAACCCTCACCCGCCTGCCCTCAACAAAGATATCATGTGAGAGGAGAATAATCCAGAAAATTGACCATCCTTCCGACTCGTACTTATACACACATTCTTTGAAGCTATGCAAATTCAAACTAAGGAAACACGAATTTCGGATAAACACGGACAAAATCATTCAGAAAATCTGAAGCTAGGATTCCACTATTTAAGATCGCAAATTATAGCATCAGAAGCACAAAGCAGCAGAAAGAAGTTGATCAGACGGCTTTTAAGATCAAAATTAAATCCTAATTTGCAAGTATCGACATCAGACTGCTAATTGGGAATTTAAGAAAAAAGTATGTACTGCTTATTGGAAGTCATCGATCTAACCTAGCTATGAAATCACAAAGCGAAACAGAGATTGCTCGAGCATCCAGCCAAGAAAGACAATTCGGCGTCTCACAAAACATCAGGGCGTTCAATACCAGCCTCCAATCATTTCGCGTCTATCTCCCCCCAAACCTTCACCCCCTCCCTTATCGGCTCAAGAAACGCAACCATCTCATGGCCACTTTCTCGACCATCGAATCGTAAGGCTGAACGATAAGGACTGTTGGACCGTGGCTTCACATCACCTCTCTCTTACCACGTCACAAATCAAAATATCCGAGCCTGCCGGCAGCCCCTCACTGGTAGTCCGGGGCAGAGACAGACATTCCATGCTGGCGACACACCTCTTCAACCGTTCATTACCACGTGCCACTCATTCTGCTCCGTGACCGCCGCTCCCGAGATCAACATTGTAAAACCAGTAATCTTTTTTGCCTGGATCATACTACATCTGGCTGCCCTTAAAAAAAAAAACAGTAACTTTCGAGGCAGCTGCCACCCACATTGCAGGAGAAAGGAATATTAGGAAATGTACTTAAATTTACTTTTTTATTTTATTTTATTTTTTTAATTTAATAAAGAACTTTGATGTGACCCCGCGGCAAAAGTTGTTCAGTTTATTTTTTTGCATAACATAGTTTTGTTTTGGAGATTTTTTTTTTTTTTTTTTTTTTTTGCTTGGACCTTCCCCGGTCCTTGCACGGCCGGGCCGCCCAGGAAAATAAGGTGACCTGGGGGGGGCGGCTGGTTGCCTAGCTTAGCAAAAATAAATCATTGAAATTGACTTCATTAAGGCTTATTAAGCGTTATTCTTTCGTATGTTAAAACAAGTGTCAACAAAAAAGGGAAGGACAGGTGAAAAAAGGGGAAGAAAAGGGGAAAAAATTGTCACCATATGGCAATGCTTTCATGCTAATAGGGGCAACCCCCTGGCTTGGTGCATCCTGGGGAGGGCAGGTAGACTTAACTTGAATGACAGTGACAAGCCTCACATAACCCTTGAGCCTTGAGGTAAACCAAATGCTCAACGTTCCAAGTCCCTGTTGTTCCTTCATTGCTTCCTCAATTACTGCCTGGCTCTAGATCAACTAGTCGCTAATTTCATTCGTCTCCTACCGACAACTTAACAAGTTAACAATAATAAAAAAACGAAAAGAAAAAACAAAAAAAAAACGAAAGTTTAACAAATTCCTTGATTCCTTTTCGGTTTTCTCCTTTACTCACAAAGGCCTATCCGTCAGCTGCTGTTGCTGAAAAAAAAAAAAAAAAAAAAAGCTCCTATCTGTTTCCCTCAGATAGGATCCAACCAACTGCAAGAGGTTGTAATCAAGAGGGCCCCCAGTATTTTAAACACCCCCCTCAGTTCGATCTTCAAAATTTCCCCTCTTTCATTCTACAAAGTCTATTTTATGTATTCAATGTGAGAACCACCACCTCAGTTTGACACTTAGAAACTGATGAAAATGGGGAAACAAAACTTCAAAACAGTTTCCAACATCCTCACAGAAGTAGCTTTAACCCTTCATTAGGGCTTTTAATATAACCACCAATGCTCTCAAGAAGGTTAACTAATAAATTTCCCATTCCAGCAGTGCTAGCCCGACACCCCGTTGGTGCTTCCTTCATGATTACCATATATACACATGGTCGTAAAATTGTAAACAACCGTCCGCAAAGCCGAGTCTTTTCCTATCCGACTCCCCCCTTCAGGCCTAGCTGTCTAGGCGCCGAAACTCAGATTTTTCTGTCAGCTTTTCTGAGATAAGATCAACTGCAAGAGTTTCCGATAAACATATAGCACGCTCTACCCTCTCTTCCTCTTCTACATGTCTCATTCCCCTGCCTTTCTGTTCAGTCCGCACCACATGAACTTTCTTTGATGGGGTTTTCTATATCCTTTCTTACGCCAAGTCCCATCTTTCCTCCACAACTTCGCACAACCCTTGTGGACCACCCTTCACCCTCTCAGGGAGAGGCGCTGGCCTTCCCTGAGTGTCACTCCTTGCCACCTACCATTCCGCCGCTACTTCTCGCAACCCTTCCCTGAGTGTCACTCCTTGTCACCTTCTGCATGAATTAGCAACCATTCTGTTAAGGTATATCCATACTGTCTGTGTAATGATGAGACCCATCATTCCTCATGTTGCTTCTTGTAACCCTTTTGGACCCTCCCTCTTTAACAGACGCTCCCAACCGCTCAGCTGTCCCGATATCATGAAGAACAGGCGCCATTTTGACTTGCTAATTCATGCAGAAGGTGACATGCAGCTTTCTCATCCTCTTTGTCTGTATTTTCAGAGAGTAGAATAATGCCTTCTGGTGGCAGCAGAAGCTCCTGTGTGGTAGCTCGTAAAAAGAAGAACCTCTCTCTCTCTCTCTCTCTCTCTCTCTCTCTCTCTCTCTCTCTCTCTCTCTCGGCAGCAGAAGCTCCTGTGTGGTAGCTCGTAAAAAGAAGAACCTCTCTCTCTCTCTCTCTCTCTCTCTCTCTCGGCAGCAGAAGCTCCTG